CACCCCGGAGGACACCACGCACATGGCACAGGTCCCGATCCCGGTCTGCTGCCTTTCGCCGCTCGTGCATCACAGCAGTCCTGACATTGTTATCAGGTCCAGCGCCGATGTGGCACGGCAGTAGAGCGCTGAGAGGAATAGTGCATGTTAGTGCTGCAGATGAATGTCTGTGAGCGCCACACGACGTGTTCGCTGACAGTCCATGGTGGCGTGCCACCGCCTCCAGCTGCCCCCGAGATTTTGGCTCTGGACGAGGCGGATCAATTGACTCATGGACACGGCCTTGTCATGCTATCGGAGGAGCATGAGCGATGTGCCAGGGCGGGTTTTCCATCGCAGTGCGGTGGTCCTCTGTTGGTGCAGTGGCCTATGTCGTGGAATTGCGCGAGGCAAGCTGTAGGCTGATGGGCAATGACATGCAATGACCATTGCATTATTTTCCTCGTTCGCTTGAAGGCTGGCTCTTCCACGGTCGAGAGATTCGTGAGAAATGCGACATCCACTCCTCCGGGAGCGCCGGTGGAGCTGAGAGCGAGAAGCTTAGCCAAGCGGAAGCATGAAGTGCCCAAGTAGCCTGTCGTCCCTGGACAACCCATGACCGCCACAAATGAACAAGCGCAGGTCTGCATCAGGGTACTATCGTCATAAAAGCAGTAGCAAGCAGAAAGTTTTGGAAGCTTGTCAGAATGGCTTCAATGGTGGAGGAGTTTGTACTTGCAGCATCTGCCAGGACCGAGATGGCTTGAATACAGTTACAACTAGTTACACCATGTGCATCATCATCGAATGTCTTCTTTCGCATGCACTACAGTAGACTAAGGTGGACCTGTGATACAATTCAGGAATCGCGCTCTTGACAGAGCTGATAAGACCATGGTCGAAGGGCTTCCAGATTGAATTTAGCGGCTAACGCGCAGTTGGTGCCCTCGTGTGCCATCCATGGCATACGATACTCCGAAGGGAAAGCTCTGTTGCAAAACATCCAGTCACTCAGCTTTCGCCACTGCAGCGCCTCAGCAATCCCGGAAGCATCTGAGTGCTGTCAAAAATTCCAGGCAAGTTCTGCTGCTTCGGGCTGGATAGGGAGGAAACGATGCTGCAAGTTCAGGAGGGCGGAACGAAGTGGAACCAGAAGCGAAACAAGTAAATTCAACACAAGGTCGTTCATCGATTTGTTGCAGTGTTTCGACTGCTGAAGATCTTGCCCAGGCAGGAGTAGGAGAGGAACTTCGGTGGATGTCGTGCACCGGCAGAGACGCGCGACGACAGGTGTAGCATCCTTTTGCTGGGACCTTAGACCCACTTGACTTTGTGTGTCTCAAGGTCGCAGCATTGAAGCCGGGACCTGGTCGAGCCTACATGGCCCAGGCCGTCAGCCTTTCGGGAGCCCCGAAAAGGGACAGCATGCACATGCATGCCGCTTTAGGTTCGCAGCATTGACCACCATGGATGTGAGTCCATGCCGCCTCTCGGCCACGCAAAGTTTGTGTTGGCATACCGGCATCAAAACAGCACACAGTAGATGCTCGTGACTCAGGTCAGAAGTGGGTCGCTCCCAAACGATGCCCCACTTGCAGGGGTCTCAATATTTTGCTTGCAAATTGTTGATAAACGGGAATCGGTGCAGCACTCAGCACTGTGCTTTACAAGCTTCCGTGCAGGAGGCTGCCACATGAAACATGGGTGGCAAAAAAACACACAGATTCAGCCAGTGCAGCCCCTCAGAGCCCTTTGGCCCCGTGAGGGTTCCTACAGTCGCCTAGCTTCTGCCGATTTCAGTTTTCGGGCGGGTCTAAGCTCAGATTCGATGGTGCTGGCACAAGGGATGGGCAGTTCCATATTAGCCCCAGATTTGAACTCGGGATGTTCAGAACAGCTACTGCTGCGACAGCACCTAGACAGCCTCTAACGCTAGTGGAGATGGCATCTGTAGCGTTCTTGGCATGTAGAGCGCCGGCAACAAACGCAGGCCGGACATGCCATCGAGTCGAGAGCTCAGGCTTAATAGTACTTAGTCTGAGTAGTGACAATGGCTCCCTTCAAGCTGGAAGTTGGGATTCATTGCAAGCAAGGTGCGGGCTGTTCCCCACCGCCATGGCAGCAAGTCTGCCTTGTTTGGCTCCCTGCCATGCCTTCTGGGTATGGCTATCCTTCTGGCAGTTGGAGCGGTGCCGGCCTCGCCTTTTTGAGCCGAACTGTGAAGTCCTAACCGTCCTAAGCCGGTGCGCGTTCCACTCACGAAAGAGCGGTTGTGGCAATGGCGAGGCAGCCCGGAAGCCGCAGCAGGGCTTCAGGTCCGAAGTGAGTCTCGCACCTGGGGACCTGATCAAAGCGGGTCCCATGCTCAGGCACCTGCGGCTTCAGCCAGCAGCCCCGCATGCGTCTTAGTTTCCGCATTTCGCTGCTTACAAACCGGCTCAATCGGAAAGGACAGCAATGCATGCTGGTGGGAAAATGAGACAAGCGACAAATGATTCGGACTAGCGGACTAGCCTCACGTGTTTGGCATGCGAGACCCGAGTCGATGTGAAGTAGTCCGTATATTTGCGGTTAGCCAAGACTACGGTTTGGGCCAGGCCCCTTTTCCCTGAGGTTGCGGGCTTCTTCTAAATTTTAAGTCTTGCCCCAGCCTGCGCGCTGCTGCACGCTGAACTCCGCAAGGTGTCTGCGCCGGCTAAAGCACACTTCCAGGCTCTCAGCTTGCACACGGCACCTTTGTAACACGAGCACAGAGCTTTGAACATCTGTCCGCACCAGGACATCTGCGACAAGCAGGCAATCCGCCAGGAGTTGCCTCCCGAGGCGGAACGGGTTGTCGTCAATTGACTGCTACTGAATACTGGCGCTGGCCATTTGCCGGTTTTGCAGGTGACTGGTCAGGAAGAATCAGAATGTCTCATCCTTGATTGAGAACCCAGTTTTACACCAGGATCGGCCGGGTTCAGACCTGTCCTAAACTTTAACGAAACTTCCTAAACTCATGGACAGGACATGGTTCCAGCGCAGAAGACGCTACACCGCGCTTATGCAAGTGGGCGAGGACATCTCCTCAATAAAGGAGCCCATGTCTCGCATGCGATGCTTCTGGCAGGAATAGCTCCGCCCACTCGTGAGAGCCACAATGGCTTCTTGTTTCTTGCGGACGGGGTGGTTTACATCCCAACTGTCTGGTGCACGGCAGCACGTGGGCGGCCTCAACGGCTCACCGTCAGTATAACACCCCGGTTCAAGAAGTTCAACTCCAACATCGAGTCCGGCTGCCTTGTGCCTGCATGGTGAAATGCTGCAATATCCGCCATGCGGAGTGCAGTCCACACATAGCCTCACATAGCTGTTCCGTCATAGATTCTTCACTTCTCGGTAGCGCGCACGAGAATCCCGGTTCTGCAAACTTGTTTGGAGTGTTGACGCGTGTGCGAAGTGAAGTGTCGTGGCTGAAGCGAACTGATTCGCCAGGTTAGCGCTGGATGCTCTGGAAGCAGATGCCATGAGCGCAGGTGGTGCCACAAGATGATCGAAGCTTCAAGGTGTTCACAGATCATGCACAATACACACACATGTATATCTATCTATATATATATATACACACACATACACACGTACATACATGTATGCAGTATGCGCATGTCATGTGACGGAGTCAGATGCATGTATGTGGAGGATTTTCGAAATGGGCACAGTCTGCAGGATGCTTGGACAAAATGCCAGCATCCTTACTGATGGGCCACTGGGCCACTGTCTGCTGGCGTTTGTCGTGCGGACGCGGAATGCCACGAAGAGCCTTCGAGAAAGGTGAAGCAGAGCAGACCAGGCAAAGTTTTTGTCTTGCAACGGCATGTCGAAAGCGCTGCGGCCACACACAGTCTTGAGACTTAACTAGAAACGAAGGATGCTGAAAATTGTGAAAGCTTGGGATGCATGCTACAGAACAGTACTCGTAGAGTTCAGCAAGAACCAGTATGCAGACTTGCCCAGCATATTGAAGCACACGCTCTTCCTGTGTCTCCTGGGGCTGGCACTGACGCCATGGTGGCCGCTATTGGCATCGACTCTTGGAAATAAGCGGCTGGCAGTGCGGCATTTTTTCTGCTTGTGATTTTTTTGTGCACGGTCATGACTCATGATTCACGACGTTGGAGCTGCAGGAACATGTTCGGAGGCGCCGGCGCAATTGCCTCATCGCTGTATCTTCCGCGCCGACCGCCTGGATGCAGCTGCTGCTATCTTTGTGCAGCTGACAGAGATGAACTCAGATCGCATGCGAGGTTAACGCTTGCCAGTCTATACTGTCTTCCAGATGGAGACACTTTCGTTGGCACGGCGTGGGGTGCTTAGAAATCTGCCATAAGGATTGCGAGCTGCCCACACTCCCTCTCTCTCCCTCTCATTTTTGGCAGCTCTACTCTTCTCCCTTCACTACTCCTTCACTATTTATATGGTTTTAGGTGTTTGCATGTTTCTGCTGTCTTCATGGAAGCATTGGGATCAAACAGAATATGATGTGCAAATGACCGGCGGCAGAGGTGCAGCATCTGTCGGTCAAGCAACTTTGCATTGCGGCATCCTGGCAGATCCGCATTGTGAAGACACATTCGTCAAAATCCACGGCCTAATAGGCGCAGGCGCATTAGCAGGCGCAAACTGTGAGATCCATCAGCTTGTGACTATGAGGTTTTTCTCTGCATGTGCACTGTGAACTGTTCTGCGTATCGAAGGACGGGACCTCTCGAGACGAGCCAGAGGCAAAAAGGTTAGAGTGCGAGGCGTTAGCGCCTGCTGTATTTTTCCAGGGCTTTCCAGCTCGAACATGGTAGCGGAGCCCCTTGGTTGAGCGCTGCGAGCTGCGATCCAGAAGACCTTTGTGTGCCGAGGATGAGCAAAGATTTGTCTACTGACGTGCCCTCATGGAATGGCGATCCGAGTCTCTTCCTGACCTTCGAGACAGCGTGCCGTTGGTATGAGAAGACTCTCAAGGAAGGCGAGCGACGAGGTGCGGCAGCGAGAGTGTGGAGCAAGCTTTCAGGGCCAGCCCGCTCAGTGGTTCGCCGCCTGAGCCCAGATGAGTTTGATGTGCCGGGCGGTCTGGAGAAGCTTCTCGCAGTTCTTCGTGCCTCTCCCCTGCAGACCTTGCCGATCCCGGATTCCTTCAGCAAGCTTGAGCGTTGGCACGTTCTCCGTCGCAAGGAAGGCGAATCGATTCCAAAACTTATCGTTCGCGAGGCTGACCTTTTTCATGAACTTCAGCTGAGTCTTTTGCGGTCAAGGGCGAGATCGGATGTGATTGAAGGACCTCTTCCTGCGAGTTCTGCGCCGACCTCGCCACCTGCGGCCGCGACAGCCTCTCCGAGTTCAGCTAAGGAACAAGCAGCGAAGGAGGCCACAGAGGAGGCGTCAGATCTTCCCGAACCTCCTCCTGAGCCAGAACGTGCAGCCCCTCTTTCGGTGCCGAGGCCTTCTTCAGTGGGTTTCTTCGAGGACGAATTCAGGGGATATCGTCTTCTTAAGGCGGCCGGGCTGAACAACGACCAGAGGATGCAGATTTTAACTTTGACTTCAAACTCGGTTGCCTTCGAGCGAGTGAGGCAAGCTTTGCGTGCACTTTTTGGTGACTTGGAGGAGACAGGCCATCATCGTCCTTCTCGTCGCCGTGGCTTGTGGTGGGCCGAGGAAGCTTGGCCCAGCTGGGCTGATGAAGAGGCCTGGCTTGTGGACGATGCTTGGGGGCACTGGCCTTGGGAAGAGGCCGAGGCCTATTGGGGTTCCGATTGGGGACCTTTGTGGGAAGATTGGGGCCCCGAGGGGTCGCATGAGACAGCGGAGGAGGTAGCTGACATGGGCACTTCGGAGCTTGCAGAGCAGGAGGGTGCCGAGGAAGATGCCCTCGCCATCCAGGAGCAGGATGCAGCCATTTTGCCCGCCGAGGCCAACCGTACTTTGGCGGAAGTGAGGGCCGCGATACAGAAGGTCCGGGCTTCCCGTGGCTATAATCCCTTGGGTGGAAAAGGCGATGGCAAGAAAGGCGCCAAGGGAGGCAAGCCGAAGGGCAGGCCGACTGGCAAGTCATGGGGCAAAGGCGGAGAGAAGTCCAGCAAGGGCTCGGGATGCCTGATATGTGGATCCTCTGGGCACTTTTTCCGAGACTGCCCTCGGCGCTTCAAGGGCGGTGGCAAGACTGGAGAATTCAAGAGGAAAGGAAAGTCGTCGTACTGGGCCGAGCCGGTCTACGCGATCTGCCACCTGACCGGTGACTTTATGGAGCCGGGGCCTCTCGGCGTGGATGGTTCCCGGGGCTTGGACGAGTTCGAGGCCTACGGGATTCACCGCGAGATCGCCGAGACCTTTGGCACGATTCCCCGGGGCGACATGTACCAGACTGGCTTCGAGACCTTCGACACGATTCCCCGGGACGATATGTACCAGGCTGGCTTTGAGACATTCCCCAGAGTGACATGTACGAGGGTGGCTTCGAGCACTTCGGCGCGATTCCACAGAGTGACATGTACCAGGGTGGCCTCGAAACCTACAGCGCGATTCCGCAGAGTGACATGTGCCAGGGTGGTTCCGAGACCTTTGGTGCAGGACAGCCAGGCGAAAGTGGGTTAGCCTTAGTTGCTGGTGCCGAGTCGTATGAGGACCTAGTCCAGTTTGCGGGCACAGGTGGTGACACAGGTGGCCGTTCCGTTTTTCCAGTTGACCTACAAAACGTAGAGCCTGAGAGCGAGCCTGTGGAGCATGCTCTTGTGATCAGCTTGGAGTCAGCCTTCTTGATGACTTCAGGTGGGGCCCCCGGTTTCATTCTTGATACGGGAGCCACAGAGAACGCAGTCGGAGTCAAATCGTTGCAGATGATTTTGCAGAAGACCGCTACCGACTATACCGTCTCTAGGTTCCACCGTCCTCTCTTCAAGTTTGGGGATGGTGTGTCTTTGCGGGCTTCTTCCAAGGTGACCCTCAAGACTTCAGCGTTGGGGGAGGTGAGTTTCTTTGTTCTTGAAAGGAGCCAAGGCGAGTATCAACTATGAGCATTTGTGCTTGTGGTTCCGTGACCTTGGTGGTGAGCTGTGGCAGGCGGACCTGCTTGAGACCCAGTCGGGTCACCTGATGATTCCGGTCCAAGGCCAGCTGTACGATCTTAGCAGGTTGCGGTCTGAAGCCGAGAAGGATTCGGCGTCACACTTCGTCCGGATGCTCAAAGCTTGGTGGATCTTGTGTCCACGCCGGATGCCTTAGAGGAGCTACAGAAGTCTCAGGGACAAGGACAAAAGTACACGGCCAGGGCGTGCAAGTGTTTAGCCGGAGTTGTGTCACACCATGTTGCATGCACATGTGAGTTTGGGAGCCTTTGTGGACTAGAACATGCACCTCATTCTGATTGTGTTGTTGATCCTCCTGAACCCCAGTGCGAAGCCGCCGTGCATTCTGAGAGTGTGTTTGCCATGTCAGTGAAGAACCAGTTGCCTGTTGTTCGACCGTCTTTTGGCGCAAAGGTTGAGGAGCTTAGCCTTGCCCAGCTTCGCCTTCGGCGGTCCCATGGGGCAGTCCAAGGAGAAGGGGCCGGCCCCGTTCGACGATCCGCGCCAGACGGGCTGGCCGTGCTTCGGTCGCCACAAGGCCGGGGGCTTGAAGCAGAACCAGTTTGGACGGTGGCAAACATGCGTGCGATGCGGCCTCCGAGTCTTCTACGAGACCACGAAGACGGGCCACGGCAAGGACCGCTCGGCTGGCGCGACCGTGGACATCGTGGCCCTGGCGATGGACGACCTGCAGCAGACGATGGAGGAGCTCCAGGCAGGCGTCTTCAACAGGGACAGCGAGTGGTCCTCCAGACCTACATGGAGGAGCGCCAGCCAACATGTGCCAAGGAGCGTCGCCCTGCCGGAGCCGCGGGCCAAGACCAAGCCGAAGGAGACGGAAGTGGAGCAGTGGAGCCCGAAAACCCCTGGAGGCCCTCAACACCATCGAGGACCACTCAAGGCCAAGTTGGAGAAGGCTCTGCTCAAGAAGATGGGTGGAAGTGGAGCCACGTAAGCTTGCCGGGCGATGCGAACATGAAGCGCTTCTCGCGGACGGACCAGTGAAGGCTGGAACCCCGGCCGGCCAAGGCGACGAAGAGGGCGTGGAGCGCCCCCGTGTTGATCGTCAGGATGTGGAACCGGCGGTGTTTGGGTTGCCAGTGAGGAGGAAATGTTTCACGACCGCGACACGGCGGGCCATGCATGCTGCTGGGGCCACTTACTTTACAGCGCTTCTGTGCGCCACGACAGTTTTGATGAATTCGTTACGACCGGCGGAGATGTGGGAGATCAACGGTGTGAACCCACATGGGCACTTTGCCACCGCCGCGGCCGACATCGGCATCACCTATGAGGGGTTCTATGCGGACCACGGGCACCAGGTGGAGAAGCAGAATGTGACGAATCAGGTGATTGCCGAGCTCTACGCAAAGACGCCGGCCTTTGTGTGGTTTGCGAGTCCGGTGAGAAGCTCCCCGAAACAACCGGGGATAGACACGTCGCCGGAAAAGTGGAGGAACCAACTTCGAGGGCAACGCCGCTGCAAGGACATTGCGTGGCCAAAGGAGCTTGCGCTCAACTGGATGGTGGGCGCCACTTTGCTTGGGAGTGGCCCTACGAGGTGAAGTATGGCCACGATTGTGCGGCTACGCAGATGATCTTCGACCACGCCCGAAACCTTGGGTGTGACCTGTACGACTTCGTGCTGGATGGCTGCGCCTATCCTGAGGCGACTGAGATACATGGCAAGAGATGGCGCATCATCACCTCGAGCCCCTCGGTGGCCTCTATGCTAAAAGGGCGGCGATGCCCGGGACACAAAGAACATCCTCCTGCACCCGGCCGAGTTTGTCTTCCTCGGTATCTATGCAACGATGTGATGGAAGGAGTTCTATGGGAACTTCGGGGCGAGGGACCGTCTCTTCGAGAAGTTGTGGAAGCCTGGGCAGCAGGCAAAGAATTTTCAGATGCGGGCTACACCTTGGGTTCTCCGACCTCATTGCCTTCGGAGGAACCTACGGGCCGGCGACTTCAACAGGTGAAAGAGATGATGCTTCGAGTACATCGTGCCTCGGGGCATTCTTCCTTCCACAACCTCTCCAGACTTCTCCTTCGTCGAGGCGCTCCTGAATGGGCCGTTTCCCTTGCAAAGAGTTTGTCTTGTGCAGAAAGCGAGGAGTCCCGCAGAAAAGTTGGGCCTCCACAAGCTAGTCTAGAGGAGCCTGCGGCTTTGTGGGAAGTGCTGGGACTTGACGTCTTTGAAGTGGAGCACGTTGTTGAGAAAGTTGCCATGAAATCCAAGTTTCTGGTCATGGTTGATAGAGGTTCGCGGTTCACACTGGTGTCATTGCTTAAAACTTTCAAGGCCGATGAAGCTTGGGAACCGTCCACCATGGACATCAAACGAATGATTGTGAGGACCTGGCTTGGGGCCAATCCGTCCCCAAAGTGGTTCTTCACAGATTCAGCGGCATATATTTCACAAGCCGCGAAATGGTGGAGTTTGCATCGCATAGTGGAGTCGGGCTACTTGTTGCCCCTGCTGAAGCCCACTGGCTGCTTGGTGTTGAAGAACGGACTATTCAGGTTCTAAAGCGTACTGTTGAAAAGCTGGAGTGTTAGCTTCAGCTCCGCTGTCCCATGGTGCCCTTGAAACCCTTGCCATTGAAACCTTTTACATAGCCCTTGCTGAATGCCTTGCCCTTGCTGGGGCGGGCAGAGACGCTGGTAAAGTCGCGGTCCTGGGGCCTCCTGATCATTACTATTATTATTATTATTAGTATTATTATTGAGGCGGTGATCATGATAGCCCTTGCTGCCGTTCTTGCCCGTCATGCCGCTTTGGCCCTTGGCACTCTGCATTTGGAAGGGCTGAATCTGTCTGAAATCTGATATAAGGCGGCGCCAAGTACCCTTGAACTCATTAATTAGTTCTTTCTTCAGCGTCAAAGTCATTGGCATGAGTTTGATCCAAGTTACCATACCGAAGATGTGCAGTACGAAAGCGTCCACATGCCGCCAAATACTCATACCGGTCCCATGGCTCACATGGCCGAAGTCTGTCATCTGTGTTCATAGCGACGACAATGCCAGGTTGTACCCGGAGCGATCCAAATCGGATTGGACAAACAAGACTGCCAACAAACAATTGCCACTTGCAGTGGTCGTAAATCAGAACAGACGTGCTTTCGGTGGTGGCGGATTCGAGGACAGTACTGGCATCACATCTGTCTGGCCAATCCATGCTTTGCACAATTTCATGTCCACAGTTCCGAAATCTTGGACGCCGCTTTTGCCTCTTTGATGCATTGATCCAGTTTTGCAGCCCTTCGGAACTTATGCAACTTTTGTGTCATCGTTTGCACAATTCCATCGAAGATCTCGCAATTCTGCGTTCCAGTAATCGCTGCCACGATCAAGGTCCTCGTTATCAGCGTCGGCACAGGTGGAAAAGATTTCGCTTGAAACTGCCATGGGCATCAGGAAGGCTTTGACAGACTCAGATTGATTAATAGTATCACCATTAATTTTAGCTGCAGGCTACATTACATTGGATGATGACTTTCATGTTAATTACATTGCATGCGATTGGGTGATGATTTTCATTCAATGAATCGAAATGTTTCAGTTGATGGTGCTTTTCATTGACACACTCACTGATTATGCAGGGCAGCCTGACTTCGGGCGATGTTGTAAACGTAGACAGCAGGAAGCCAGCACCGGTGTTTGAATCAATCACGAAAAAACAAAAATGATCAACATAAAGGCCTAAAAAAATCAAACAATAGCAAATAAACTCGAAAACAAACAGATGAGGACAAAGTTCGCCATGTACGTGACACAATGAGGTTTTAAGCCTATCTAAACCCTGTGGTTTTGGACCCTCGCAAAAGGTTAGAGATTCGCTCTGAGGCATCAGAGTTCCCCAGGAAGCCACCAACGCGTCTCGCCGCTGCGGTCAGGAGACCAATATTAACTGGGAGGGATCTTGTTTCATCAGGGCTTGTGAGAGCTCACAAGAGTCAGAATAGTCAATGCTTGCAGGATCAGCACAAAGCGTGCCCGTGCTAGAGCGCGAGGTGCTCGACCTTGCGTCGTGACACGTGGACCAGAGTGCCAGTGCTGCTTGCCACTCATGCCAGGACGTGTCTGAAGGCATCGATGATTCAGCGGAGCTGCTGCAGGCAAAGTGCCTTGTAGCTTTGCAGCCTTTGCAGCACGGCATAGTAGACGATTGAAAGTTGCAGAAGTTGGACCGGCAGGCGCAAGCAGATTTGGACGCGAAGCTAAGGGCAGCTGAAGCGAGACTGAAGCGAGCTACGGCGTCAGGAACCTAGGCAGGAATGTCGGAGTGTGAATACGACTGCTTTGACACTGATACGTCTCAGGTTCAAGTTGCCAGAAGCAGAGGCCCTAAGAATCGAGGCACGTTGACACCTTCCCATCATCAAGCTCCCAATGACTGCAAAACGCAGAGTATTCCCAACTGTTTTGACAGCTCTGTTCGGGTGATGCACCAATGGCCAATGCTTGTGCGAAATATGCCCACGACCACATGTATCACATAGGGCCTGATCTATCCAAAAGCACCAGAAACCACAAAGGGAGCTGGCGGAAGGACGAGGGGACGCGAGGAGAATCGTGGGCGGTGGGCGGCCGCGGGCCGACGTGGGTACAAGTCGCCGAACTCTTAGCAAATTTAGAGAGAATGTGGGCTCAAAGCGTGGTTTTTGCGTTGTGCTGCAAACAATCGAAAACGTTCGCCATTTTGGGCACGAACGCTCCCCCGAAACGTGGAAGCGAACTAAAGGCAACCGTTGCGCCTCACACGACTGCTCTTGCGTGTACGTAAAAACAGGTATAGCAAGACATCGACATGATGGGTCGATCTTCTACTCGAAAGATATGTGTGCGTGTTTGCATGCATGACCAGAACTGATGATTTGTTGTGGCAGCATAATAAATATGTCGTGCATTCGCAATTCAAGGGCTTTGGAACACGTTCCTGCGAGCGGACTGTCAACAGTTGGTCAACTCTCTTGCTTCGTACCTGCGCTGCCTGCGCCCTTTTGGCAGCATGAGCAAGCAAGGACGATATCCTCGTCAAGTCGTTTGAGTCACATGACCCATTGCATCATCCACGAGCTTGGGGAGGAGATGATGAGAAACCAGAGGAGGCAGTCTTAAATAGTTCCCAACCCTGACCACCATTGCCATGAGATCGCGACAGGGGAAAGCAGACCACGAAATGCCAGTTCTACTAGGTTTATTAGCCCTATTAGTCCTGCTGCTTCTGCTGAGTATTCACAAGCTCTATCGTAGTTATACTAGGTTGCTGCCTCTCGTTCTACTGCTCGTATTCGCATGTAGAACTAGTACTAGTGCTAGCACCCGTACTCGTACTAGTACGAATAGTACTGGTGCGAGTTGTAGTGCTCGTACAAACACTACCATACCACTGCTTCTACGGCAACGGCCAAAACAAGACTACTACTACTACTACTACTACTACTACCACTACCACTACCACTACCACTACCACTACCACTAGTACTACTACTACTACTACTACTACTGCTACTACTACTACTACCACTACTACTAC